GTACACACGTTTTTTTCTCCGGACACTTGGCCTCCGTAAAATAAAAAACTGGGGGGGGGGGGGGGGGGGGAGCTTGTACCAATTTCAATCGGGGGCGCTGTTCAAATTCGACGATTAATAACACACGTATTTTGAACAGGCGGACATTAGACCAGTATAATTTTTTGGGGGTGTCAAAGCAGGGGGGGGGGGGGGGGTTCGACTTTTATGTTCTATTCCTTTTACTTTTCTTCTACCTCTTCTCCTACTCTTTTATTATCACTTCTCCTTCCCCCTTGCAATCTACAAAAATATTGAAAAGCCTATCCTCCTTTGTTTGAAGAGTCTAAAAAGTACGATAGAACAATCCACTTATCTACTTGCGAGCATTCTCTTGTCACTCATTTTGTTTAATTCCTCTCATAAAATAAATAATGCGAGTCTGGACTAGCCCCTTTCCACAGTACAATAATAAATAAAGATGACGGGCTGCTCCTCACTCCATCCATGTATTCAAACATAATGTCAGAAATCTAAATCTACACGCAATGATGGTAATTGAATTAAAGCCAAAACAACTTATCGCTTCCCTCCCCAACCTATGTCAACCTTCTTCAACCCCCCCCCCCCCCCCCCCGCGCCCGCCCGGCTGTTTCTTTTGCGCTTGATTTCACACGTCTTGCAGTGACTTTGCACCCTGTCTTGCACATGCGCTGTACCCCTTACCTCGCCCAGCTCCCACATATAAGTTGCTGGCATGCCACTAAAACCAAAACCACAATTTCCACGCTCTCTTGCAGACCTCATTCAATCAATACTTATTGAACACAAGTTTACATTAACAAAACGAATGCAGTCAAGAATAGATCTGTCCAATCTCGCCAAATAAGCAAAAAGCACAAGAAATGGGCGAAGACGATCTCTCTTGAGCTGAAAGCTAAACAGAGTATGCCCTATGTTAAGAATCTCTCGGACTCTCAGCTCTCTAACATTGAACTGATTGCTCTAGGCAGGGGTTTGAACTTTATACCCACCCCTAGAAAACCAAAAAGGTCCACCATCCTTCGCCATTCCCAATCATTTTTCAGAAAAATGAGATTACGTCTAAAAATGGCAGGGAGAGTGAGACCTTCAAATTCGCATCCTTTCAAATTGCCCTCCACTTGGAATCCCCAACCTACCTTCAACCTTAATCTAGAATCATACATTGAGGGTACTTTGGAGGAATTATCCAAGTTGGAAATAAAAAATGTAAAATCTAACATATCAAAAGCGGAACGCATCGCTCTGACCGGCCTTAAGCAAAGACGAGACATAGTCATTAAACCATTCGATAAAGGCCGCGGTGTATGTGTTCTAAACAGACAAGACTATATACATGAGGGGCTACGACAATTATCAGGCCCACACTATGAAGAGATTGATAGGGATCTGACTGGGGAAAACCGCGCAAAAGGTCGCTCAAGCCATACGCAGACTTCACATTGATGGAGTAATATCCAAAAAACATTTGAGTTTCTCAACCATGACAACCACGACATCAAAACTCCTTGCCTCTACCTCTTACCGAAAGTTCACAAAGAAGCACCCAAAGAAACGCGGTTTGTGGGGAGGCCTATTATTAGTGGTTGCGGAGGTCCGACTCAATCAATTTCAAAATACATAGACTATTTTCTGCTTCCGATTGTCAAACAACAAAGCACATATACACGTGATTCCGGGCATGTGCTTGAAAAACTAAACAACGTGACATTGAAGCAGGATAGCCTATTGATCACATTGGATATTGTGTCCATGTATACGAATTGCCCACAAGATGAGGCAATTGAATCAGTCTGCGATGCACTTGAAGTTGCCGATAACAGTCTGTACGCAATACCCAAACCTACAAGAGAACACGCTCGCTGTCTCCTGGAACTTATCATGCATCGAAACATATTTGAATTCAATGGAAAGTTCTTCAGACAGAAAATTGGCGTGGCTATGGGAAGCGAATGCAGTCCAGAAATATGCGGTATAACCCTGTTCAAATATGAACAACAAATTATTCTCCCACACAATCCTTCAATTGTGACTTACATGAGATACAGGGACGACGTCTTAATAATATTTAACGGTAACGAAGACCAAGCCGGTGACCTCGTCCAAACTCTAAACCAAATTCATCCCACGCTCAAGTTCACGTCAGAGATTTCAAACAGTCAAGTCACCTTCCTCGACCTCGTCATCTACAAAGGCGAACGGTTCAAAAAAGAAGGGAAACTGGATACTCGAGTAGCAACCAAAAAAACTGATACCTTTCAGTATTTTGCTCGAGATTCAGCCCACCCTGAGTCAGTATTTGGCGGTTTGATTAAGGGAGAAATAATGAGATATGACCGTATATGCACACACTCAAAAGAATTTGAGGAGAAGGTTGAATTCTTCAAAGACAAACTACAAAAACGCGGATACAACCAAGAAGATTTAGCCCTTCTTCCCCAAAAAGGCGAAACTCGCGTGAACTCTAAAAAGCGTGCAAAAACCGAAAAGAATATCCCGCTGGTCTTTGTTTTACCCTACAACCCACAAATTAAACACCCAGCTCTTAAGCAGGCCCTTCTGAAACACTGGAATCTGATCAGCGATAATGATTTTCTCAGTGCACTCTTTGCGACCCAACCCATCCTGTCATACAAACGATAAAAAAACATAAAAGATGGCCTGGTCCGTTCAAGGATTAACCCATCTCCACCATCCAACCAAGAAAAAAACTTGGATGAGGAGAACATTCAAATCCTTTGGAACTTCTTGAAGAACAGAACTAACATAATGGTCATTTAGGCATGGATTTCGAAATAAAAAATAAAAAATAAGGAATCCACCTAGTCTGATCATTACAAGAAAAGCTAACGCGTAAAATATTCTTTACCATCATTAGCAATAAAGTAAATACGTACAAAAGAATTAAACAAAGGGTGACTGATGAAGTGCGTAAAAAGGGCACAGAAAATATGCACTGTTTCCCCCGACACACAAAAAAGAAAAACAGGTGGGACGGCATATTATCACCGGTATAAATCAAAACATTAAGTGAACTAGAAACAAAAACCACATGTACACAAACCAGTCCCTGCGTCGCCTAAACACCGGATGAGTTTTTTTGAAACTCCCGCTCTCCGGTTATCACCAATCTAATGGGCCCGCTGGCGAGGTATGTGTTGACAAGTTATAACCCACCCATCACCGCAACCCAGCAGTGGAATTGACTTTACTTCCTATATGCGTATTGAATTTCCAAAAAAGGAAAAAAAACCTTAACAAATACGCTCTAGGCAGTTTAGTCATATAACTACACAGGTATCCATACCAGTGCTTGTAAGTCTTAAATAAACGAAAATCTTCCCTAGCTGGTTGCAAACACAATGTTTTCAAAAAAAGATTCATCAGCTTGCAGAGCCCCTCGTACTCCAATGTTATCATACATCCCATAAAAGAAAAGAATGAGGAACGGCCCTGCTGATGCTGATAGCAAATCCCATCCCCCTCCCATGTTTTAAACCCTATTTCACGGCGGCAACTTTCTTGGAATGACCTTGGAACTTTCCAACAAGTTATTAATATCAACAGATTATTTCCTGAATTTTGCCTGCACAAAACCGGTTCTTCCTTGCTATTTTCCTAGCCAGAAAACCACTTCCTTTTAAGAAAACACAAGTCTGATAAAAACTGAAATGCATGGTGGCGGCCAAACTCCATTCCATTTAACTTAAAATGTAGTGGCGACATGTATGATTACGCCCCTTCCTATTAAACACAAGATGGCAGCCATGAATTAGAATGGGATATTGCAGGCATCTGCTTGGCCATTCCTCATGTTGTTGTGTCACCTGGACTTGTCCAGGAAAGAGACTATGCAATCACTATGTCTCTAGTTTGTATGTATTATTGGTTTTGGAATTGAAGGCCTTTGGGCCACAGGGTTTAGGTAAACTTGTTTAATTCTGGGCATATGCCTCTGGCTTTCTTTTTCTTGCTTTTGTTTTTGTTTTAATATTTTTTGAATATTTGTATGTGTTTTAAATGCCGAATGAATAATAATAAATAATGTATCGGCCTAGTACATGTATATATATGTACGTGTATGGTACATGTATGTACCGCGCCGGCATGTGGTATTTTAGTAAAATTGGTCTCGTCTAAGAAGGTGAGGTCGAATTAGAACTAACTTGAATCATAGATGCAGCTCGGAAACCTTCATAAAATTATGATGTCAAAGGTCACATACCAAGGTCAAAGGTCATCTGAGGTCAAGTTGTAAAATAAGCGGAATGTAAAATTGGTCTCATTTGAAAAGTTGCTGTCCAATTGAAACCAAACTTGGGTCATACACATGTACATGCAACATAACAACCTACATATGATAAGGTTGCATACCAAGGTCAAAGGTCACCTGAGGTCAAATTGTAAAACAGGCTGAAATTGTCAACTTGGCCTCATTTGAAAAGTTGAAGTCCATTTGGAACCACACTTGGGTCGTAGATGCAACATGGCAACCTTCATATGAAAATGATGTCAAAGGTCACATACCAAGGTCAAAAGGTCAACTGTGGTCAAGTTGTACGATATGCTAAGAATGTAAAATTAGTCTCATTTTAAAATTTAGTCACTCTTTAAAGATTGTCGCTAAAGCAGGCGAGATGCATGGTTCAAGAACCAACTTGTTTTAATTAGGCCTATAGGGGGCAGGTTCCAAAAACATTTTTGAGGAGGAAAAGGCTCTACTAGCGCTTGAATGAAAAATTTATCTTGGAGCCTACTATCGCCAGATCATGACCAATGTTATAAAAGTTAATTTGTAGAGTCCTAGTTACTTTGAATTCTGTTTCTGTTTCTATTGAGTCAAGTTATCCTGCCGTTTTCAGACGAAAGTGGCAGTGAGTGTGTCCAAAAATGATTGTACTATTTTTTCTTTATGTGAGGGTCATGTATGTTTGTCCTTTTGATATTCTGCTTCTGTTGGTTTCATTCCTGACTTGTAGGCACCAAGCATCAAAAGGTTGGTTGGTACCGGTAGAAGATACTTCTCGCAAGAGGTAAGCTAAGGATTGTGTTGTCTTTCCTCTTTCTGTTCTGTGAGATTTACCAGAGATTCACATAGAGCATGAAAAAAAATCAGACTGGCAGATTTAGGTCAGTTTTGCCTGGTTAGGTATGCATCAATGGACCGATCCAGTAAGCCCCTCCGACTGCGCACGTGGGCAAATTAACACATGCTCCTCTCCAATGCCACACTGCATTTTCCTGCTACGCGCATCATACGCGCGTGCACGCATGTCGGACTTTTGTGTACGCATGTCGGACACAAATCACGGCTGTGATTAGTCAGAATACCATGGGGCGGTGCTTACTGGATCGGTCCATTGTAACAAAGATGTTAGTTGTACTAGATGTGTATGTAATTGTATCTTGGTTCTTAGGTCTGCATGCACATTAAAATATATAAAATGTCTGTGGTGGGTGACTATATTCCTAAATTAGCTTTTATACTCTGGGTCCTAAGTACTTATTGCGAACTCGGACTTATTTATGGCACCCTCTTTTGTTCAACGTCGCACATTTGCACGTTTCTGTAATAGTATGGTGCCGTCCTCACTCTGCAGTTCGTTAGTAATGCACTGTCAAGATTCTAGGCTTGCGACCGTAGTTTAAACCGTGTCATTTACATTGACCTCGTACTGACAAACTTCTAGATTTGACACTAAAACTCAAAAGCCACATTGATAATGCCTTTGGACAGAAAGAAGCATTGTGTTTGTAAGTCTGGTGTAAGTAGTAGATTTTATGCGACAGCGATTTTTGAAGATGACTTAAAGGGTTGTTTTTTCGCATCAAGAAGACAGGGAGGGTTTTCTGTGTTCTACATGCATGTGGTGTGCTTTGAATTTTCGGCTTGACATTTCACTTAATTTCAATTATCGTGAAGACAGCAGGGGTCACTCTAGAAAACGCCAGATTGGGGGAAACTGAGGTTCCCTCAGTTCCCCGGTTCTACCCGGTTCCAATATGAGAACCGGAACCGCGAGTACAATCTTTTCGAGAACCGGATACCCGCTATGCTCAGTTCCGGCCCCAGAAGAATCGGTTCTATTAAATTACCTTTTCTCTGGGCACAAAACCCAGAGCCGAGAATCGGTTACATTGCAATTCAATCCCGTGAAGGCCAGGACCATTCACTCTGGCTAGTCACAACAAAAGCGGGGAAAACCTCACAGACTCCCATATGTGTCACGGAGAGTCAGAGACAAAAACTGCCCAACAGAGCCTTTTTTGCGAGTTTGCGGTCAGCCACGAGGCGCGCATACAGAGCATTGAACCCAATACTGGCCCTGTACCATGGATGATTTCGTTTGGACAAGCGGTGTAGCGTGAATTTAGGTTTATGAAATATGGATTGCACCGTGGTATTGCGCATGCTCACGCATAGATAATTGGAAAAGGATCGCTCACAAAAAAGGAGTCCGTTGTTCACATGAATCCATTTTCATATAGCACTGGCTGAAGTAGGAAAGTACGCTCAGAAATAGAAGTAAGATTGCTGCTGTGAATTGTGGGCATAGTTCCTCAAGTTCAGAACAAATTTCTTCAGCTGCAGGATCACCTTCTCCTAATCAAGTCCCTACAGTCTCTCTTTTTTAAAATAAATTTAACGGATAAGTATCTTGAGAAAACAAATGTGTCTACATTTCAGCATAGATGTGCAAGTGCCCTTTATAGAAATGTTTAACACCCCCCTCCCCCCCCCCCCATAAGGATGACATTGCTATGCCCCTGCACTAATACTGGATCGGTCTATTTAGGTTCATCTGCCGCATGAAAGTTGAATTACACCATTTTTAATAACAGTTGTTTTGCTCTCTGGAATTGCATTTTGTTCCATACATGTATCAGCAAAGTGGGAGACATTTGTGGGAAGTTTGGGTGTATTCAGTTACCACAACATACTCTCATCTTGGTGTACATGTACTATGGATCTAAAAAGAAATTGGTGATTTAATAATTGTGTGTTCATTTTTTATTTATTTAATTCAACAAATTAAAGGTCATCCACTTTGGATGGGGTCATGCTTGATGGGCCCGATGATCCATACATGTAGAATTGTTTTGCAACTTTAGGTAGTTGCCCACGCCGCATGGGATGAGGATTTTTCCACAACCATAACTTGCAAAAAGACACTGAAGACTAGTTCAACTTTTCACCTTTTCAGCATGCCACTATTAAACCTTCTATTCCATTGGTAAAAAAATGTTCGAAGTCACGCAGGTCGAGTCCAAGTCTGAGTCCGATTGGCGGAGTCTGAGCCATTTGACATCGTGACACGAGTCCGAGTCACTGATATTGGGACTCTAGTTGGACTGAGACTCGATACTGAATTAATTCGAAGAGGATACCTGTACATGTCCATTATGAAGTAAAATACATGTAATGTATTAAAATGTGGAAAATATAACGGCTAACTTCAGATTTTATACCATCACAGCATTAGGGATCCAAACGTCAACATTGTAATGGATACACAGGGAAGTTTCAGACCAACTTTTACATTGACATTTAAAACAAAGATTGTATCTCTCAGGTTTAATTTTTCAGGAATTTTCAAAGGAAAACAGGTCTTTTCATTCAAACTTCTGATCTGATGACGTCATCAATTTCTTTTCACGCACATGTGTTCTCTGCATAAAGGTCATCATATATAATTTTGAAGCGATTACTGCAAACTTTGCTACAACATCCAACTGAAATTCATTCTAAATTTTTTTTATCTGCCGCTAGAGGCGCTGCAACATTTTATGACGTCACTGGTATTTTTTTTCTTAAGTACAATCTAGCCAGAGACTAATATCATTGAAAGCAAGTTCACATCTTTTTCCAATTTCAAATTATGAGGCGCTTCCAGTTGGATGTAGTTTTGCAAATAATATCAAAAATGAAGACAGTGGATTATTCTTTCAGTACCCGTAAAAAGCAAAATCAGATTTTCTAACAATTGATTTTATATTGATTTTCAAAGATTAAATCTAGAAATCTTTGGTTGCTTGTCATGCTTGTAATCTGATACTTGATTACCAGAAAGCTTGAGAGCTATGTTTACTGTGCTATTTGAATAAAAAATCTGGATGTACATATCTCTCGCGGTTGATTTTTCAACAATTTTAATGGTTTAACCCCAACTCCCTAGGCCTTTTTGCTAGGATGTAGCCTCAATTCTGCAAAATCCTCCAATTGGCCTCATGGAAAAATAGCATAAAGCCTCAATCTGCAGATTCCTCCATTATTTCTTGAAAATGGTCCGTGGAAGGTGACCACTGCCTGAATCCTGCAAAATCCTGTGGCAGTGACTGTCAATGTGTTGAAGCTTGGCCAGTGACATCCTGGAGCAGTCATGGCAGTACGGAGGATTTCAAGCTTTATCCAGGCCTATATTTATGCATGGCTGAGCAAAAACAACACAAGGTCCGGCCAAGACCTGACAAAGTGCATCCTACAAAATCAGTAACGCACTTTTGCCATGTAACCTCAATCCTCCAAATTCCTTCACTTTGGCAAAGAGGATTTTGAAGGTTTCAGGGCAGTTAGGGTTAAAGGTCTTTTCATTGTAACTTCCGGTCTGGCAAAATGTCTGGTGATGTCATCAATATTTCTTGTTCTTAACATAAAACTGATTAAATACATCAATTATAAAGTTATTTCAGCAAACTTTGCCACATGCATCAACTGAATATTCATTCTATACATTTTCAATCTGCCTGTAGAGGGCGCTCTAACATATTGTGACATCGGTTCATTATGTGTACAGTGCAGTGTGTGACTATTGTCATGATTGTGTATGAATTATATATGTGCACTGATGCATAATCCGCCATTTTGGTTAACAGTGCGACCCTCATGTCGCAACACTCTCTATATACGGCTCTGTTATGACGTCACTGTAATTTGTTTGTTAAAGGGAATATACAACAATTGCAAACATTAGAAAACAAAACTAACAATTTTTACGAAATACCTTAATAGAATGTTGGTAAATGAAAGTCTAAAGCATCCTGTAAAATTATGGCACCTGGTGTGAAGTCATTTTCAAGAAAAGTGGTATTTTGTATAAATTTCCAACGGTGGTCGGCCGACCACCGTTGGAAAAACCTAACTATTTTTCAACTACTGCTCCAAATTTACCTCTTTTTTTTCAGTCCAAATTTTGGTTACATGTTCATGAACGGTTGCAGGCCAGCTAGACTGGTTTCCCTACCTTACAATTTTCGGGCATCAATAAAATTATTCATTTCATCTTTAGTGGAGTCAGGGAACCAGACTATTTGAACATTTTTTTTTTCTTGATTTTTCCAGCATTTTCGAACACAAATCTTCAAACTTGTCTGTGTAACAGTATTTGATCTATTATACTAACCCCTCAAATAGTTCATTTCTGAAAATTACAGCAAAAGCCAATGATGTACATTCCCTTTAAGTACAAACTAGCCAGAAATTTACATTATTGAAAGCAAGTTCACATTTTTTCCACTTTCAAATTATAAGGCACTTCCGGTTTGGACTGGAAGAAAGGGTCATGTGATTAGCCATACAAGATAAAATGAAGATCCTGGATTATTCTATCAATTCCTGCAAACACCTAGATACTTGCGTTGATACAAAGTCATTTTCAATGTACATGTATGCAATGCGTTCTATACATGATGTCATTTTTATTGACCAGGTATGTGACTGGTTAAGACACATGACCATCACAAGTGTTGAATCAATTACCCTATTTATTCCTACTGTAACGAAACAGGGGTAGATGTAGACTGATATCAAGTCTAGCCCAAGAAGCATCACGTCAACCTGCGTGTTTTAGCGCGTGATACTGTGGGGCAACCAATCAGCATGCGCGTCCTGCATGTACACTAGGCTGATGAGCATGTCTGGCTATGAATTATGCAGGCATGTACCGCGTGATCGAGTGCATGATAGTGCACAGCGACCAATCAGCAGCGTGCGTCCGGCATGGTCTGGGGCGATTGCCTCGTGGCCTGGCGTGGGTTCGGCACTCGTGTGAGAGACTTCAATGAGTAAACTACTGGGAGAGACCGCGTTGTGAAACAAGCGATTTTCGAGCAATCTCGTGAGCGTTTACTGATTTGCGTGGTTGGACTGGAGCGGGAGAAAGTCCCAGCGCGCCTGGTGTGATCGGTCAGTAAAGCTGGACTTGTTGTTTACATCCCCCTGTGCATTTTAAGGTCTTATCGGATAAGATTTGGGGTGGATTGTTGTTAAGAAGTCGGGATATTTCAGATATAGGGCCTGAGTTAAGTTAGTAGTCGGACCCGGAGTAAATCTGAAGGTTGGGGAACAGTTAGGCTTAGTTCAGACTTAAGGATTGTCTTCCGTTGTTTGGGCCATTTAGCGTAGCTGCGGTACAGCTGCCCTGTGAGTCCGTAGGCTTGTTTTCCCATTGAGGAAATAGTGTAGCTAAGATTGTTTGGAAGGTCTGTCTGCCGTTGATCTATGCCAATTGGAGTGGCTGCGGTTGATGCGGACTTGGAAAACTGAGAGCTCGCTTTTCCTGCCGGGGAACCCGCTTAATTGTGGCTTTGTGGAGGGAATTGCATGCCGTTGTCCTGTGCAACTTTGGCGTAGAAACAGTTGATTGCGACCCTGTAAAGTCTGTGAATCCTGAGTTTCCCGAAGGTTTACTGGGTTAACGTCAGGGGACTATTATTATCATCGGGTGGGTTATAACGTTACTAACTACCCCGTGTGTGTAATTTGCTGGTCAAGCGAGTAGCAAGGACTGTGTTGTATTGTATAATTTTATTCTGTTATTGTAGACCTCATTAGAGTCATTTTGTGCTAAGTGAAAGAACGCTAGCCAGTTATTTAAGTCAGTGGTGCAGACGACCACTTTATAAACTAGGAACCCCGAGAAGTATAGGTGACGTATACCCAAGTAAGGTTACCTTAAGTGAATAACCCTGCTCAGCTGTGAATTATAATTGTGCAAGTTAATCATAAGGGAGTGCAGTTGACCCCTGTTGAACCAGACGTTTATAATTGTATAAGCTGAAGGGTGCAGTTGACCCAAGAGCTGTACGAAGGTTATAATTGTATAAGCTAATGACAAGGGGAAGTTGACCCCTCAGCTAACAGCGAGGTTTATTAGTGTTCATTATCACAGCGAGGTTTACTAGTGCTTATTCTAATAGCGAGGTTTACTAGTTTTCATTATCACAGTGAGGTTTACTAGTGCTTATTATCACAGCGAGGTTTACCTGGATTTATCTTAACTGTGAGGTTTATCATTGCATAAATTATCGAATGGTGACGCATTGACATTATATTTGAAGTGTGCTAAAGGAATAAACTAACTGATTAACGTCTTGGAATAACTGGTTACTGTGAAGCTTATGTAGTCCCGCTCTCTGTTGGATATATCTGAATAAGTTAGTCTCCTCTGTTGTCAATAAAGTCAAGTACTTAATCGCAGATCGGTGGTATATTTCCGCCAAACGAACAGCCCCTAGGCTTAGTCCGCCGTTCATTGACTATATCCCCCCTTGCGTTTGGGTAGCCACTCATCCTTGCGTGAGGTTAATAAATATTTTTGTGGGTTAAGGCCAGGTCCAATTCCATCCATCGATCAGGTCAGACTGTCGGGTCACCTAGTTATTCCCGCCACAAAGGGTGTATAGCTCATTTCGCCACACTACTCTTTAAATGTTATCTTACTTTAAAAAAGAAGAGAATAATACATAGTTAAAATTTTGTATTTTTTTCCAGCCGAAAACTGTTACACTCATCCCAGGAGATGGCATTGGCCCTGAAATATCAGCGTCAGTGCAGCAAATATTTGCTGCTGCAGAGGTAGGTACATGCAGTTTCTGGTCAATTCTACTTGTACGTGTATAGCTTATGTAGCACACATAACACAGGATTTGCCAAGAAAAACCTTTTTGAATCCTTTTGTAATTACACAAAATATTGTATTTACTGTTCCTAAATGAAATTTATTGCCAGCTTCTTGCTGCCTTTCAACTTTTAACTTTCAAAATATTGTAACTGTATACCCACAGGCCTCCCAACAAAAATTCAAATGCAGTTGCCCTTCAGGCAGGAATGCTTGAAACTGGTTGCCTGAATTTCATTTTCAGTTGCCCAATAACATGAATAAAGAACTTTTAATATTGCCACAAACTGAAGGCAAATCCTAATGTACATTTTGTACATGGCTGCTTACCTGATGTGGCTCAGGGCAGTCCGACATCCTGGGACAATCAAAATATTTTGTACTCGGCTGCTGCGCTATTGCCATATTGCAAGAGTGCGGCCGACCGTGGCTGCGTGCGTGTGTACGGAACCCGCGCTCTGCACCACGCTGGTACATGGTGTACAGTGGTCCAGTCATAATATTATTGGAACACACGTACACAAACCCATGTTTGTTTTACATACTCTATGTGGACATTCCTTTCTTTTCGTGAAGTTAAGAAAACTCCGTACAAAAAGTAACTTTACTAAAACTGTGAAAACTAATTCAACCCCAAATTTGTTTTTTGATTTCCTTGAATGTTTCTCGTCATTCTGCGACAGATAACCCTAACCCGAAAATGCCTCTAAACCTGTTTTCCAGAGAGGGCAAAGCGTTATGTGGACACGGCTTAGTCCACATAACGTCAACACAACCTGCATTATGTGGATATCTTTTGTGCACATGTCCACATAGTGACTGTAAGACAAACTCAGGATGGCATTCGCTACCTACACACATTACGTACACGAAATGTTATTGCATGATGTAGCCGGACTGTACATACAGACTGTGATTGACCGCGTTTCTGTTTTGGCTGGTACCCGTTATTGGTTTATGCGTAGATTACCAACATCAAATAGCGAGAGCGCAGCAGCTGAGTACAAAATGTCAATATTATCATGATTATTGTTCGATACTGTGCACATGTATGGGATTCTGCAACTTAAGAAAATCCCATGGACTAAATTAAAGTGTGAAAATGTGTGAGTATTGGTGAAAAAAACAGTGGTTGCCCGTCGGGCTGGCAACCTGGAACTTTTGGTTGTCCGACAAAATATTTTGGTTGTCCCGGGACATCGGACTGCCAATTTTGTGAGCCTTGACCTAGACATTTTAAGATATTTACCACATTCTTCTTTGCTAAAATACTCTCTATTCCAGAAGCTACTTGCTTGCCTAATACTTGTTTTCCATGTATGTACAAATATTATGTATATATTATGTATCTGTAAAGCTTGTTTCACAAAGTGTCTCATATGTACAATTACTTGAGAGATTACGAAGAGTTCTGTGTTACATGAATATCCCAGGTTCCTATTGTCTGGGAGTCGGTGGATGTGACCCCAGTTCGAGGACCTGATGGCAAGACAAGGATACCTCCTGAAGCCATCGACAGCATGGGAAGGACCAAGCTGGGTTTAAAGGGGCCCCTGGCCACACCAGTTGGCAAGGGCCACATGAGTCTCAATCTGGCTCTGCGCAAGTAGGTTCCTACATTATTCATCGTAGTATAGGTTGAAAGTGACATACAGTACTCCCGTAGTGAGCTCAACACAGTGCATGGTAACCCTTGGTAAATTCTAATCCATCATTCTGGCGAGTACACCGAATATTTCAATATTTGATCATGAACCAAATATTCAAATAGCATTTTTATATTCAATTGTTTTGAAAATAATGTGGCCACGAGGAGATGATTAAAAACATCTATAATGTTATTTTAATTATTGTGCAGTTTTGTTGTTTACCAAATGCCACACTTTAGTTGAAAGCCACTTTTGCATATGATTTTCAGAGCTTTCGCGAGACTATTAAATGGTCAAATATCGGCCATTCCTCTACCTGCTCTCTTTACTATTAATAATAAGCTCTTTGTCAGTTTTCGTCAAGCGCAAACACATGCAAATCCCGAGCAGTGGCCAGTCTAGGCACATTTCAAATATTTGAATAGTTGATCAAGTCCAGCTAGGGTATAATTTGCAAGGGGCATTTTTTTGGGGGGGCCCTCATATATACAGCAGGGTGAAAACTTAAAGAAATAAACATCTGTTTCAAAACTAAAATGAGTGGGGATCTTTGCTGTTCTATATTTTAGGACAGTTTTCTTTAATACGTGATGTCGCTGGTTGCAATGGAAGATCTTGAAGTTGTGGTATTTTATAGAGGATCAGCTTCTCATGCATCATAAAAAACACAATGGATATATTTTAAGGACCAAAGCAATGTTAGAGTTCCTTGATTCTCAAGACATCGACCAAGTATTGTTCTTTCCTGTAGTATTCTGTTAAGAAGAGGAATTAATCACTTGATGGTTCTGAATGTTTCTGACACCTAAACTTCTCTATGAGTGGATACTGAAGATAGCTTACTTCCCAGTTCTTGACAAGTGTACTGTTGTGACTGTATATACGTACATGTCCATGCGCACAGTATCACTGATTGGTGGGACAGTGTCTGCTGTGGCTGTAGAGTCCTATTCTAGAGTGACAGTCTCTGCCACAGGTGCTGTATGTGAAGGCTTATCAATTCCTCAGAGCTCTTCTCTTCTCTCTCCCACACTTATCCTGTATACTGCAGCCCTCCATGCTTGGCAGTTGTTTGCGACCGATTCCAATTTATTGGGTCAATGTTGCACTGTTTCATCTCGCACAGGTCTGCAGACATTTATTAAGCTGAGAGCAGGGCGATCAGTGGCTCCGGTGCCAATGGCAAGCTGGCTGTTGAGAAGAGTCTTTGGGTATCCTGCCATTATTCATGCGGTGCCTATGGCTGAGCCATGGCAGGCGTCCCTGACACAGGAGGGCATACATGCTGGGAATGTTTGCCTCCTCAAGGACCTTCTGGTTTGGCACATTTAGCCACTTGATGCCAAGGATACGTCTAAAGCAGCGCCGATGAAATGTGTTAAGGCGATGTCCTTGTTAGGTGTATTGTCCACGGCTAGCTGCCATAGAGTGCAGTGATGAAAACACGAGCCTGATACACACAGACCTTCATGTTCTGTGTGAGGGCACAGTTTTTCCACACCCTTATGGCCGATCTTGACATGGCAGAACCAATGCGTTTGCTAATTTCAGCATCGAGGGTCAGGTTGCTGGTGAAAGTTGAACCCATGTGAATTCCTGGACCACTTCGAGGATGTGGTCATTGATGGAGATGGATGGGGCGATGCTGATGCCCTGCTCCATGATGTTGGTCTTCTTGAGGCTGATGGTCAGGCAAACTCGCTGCATGCGATTTCAAATCTGTTGATGAGACACTGCAGGCCTTCCACAGTGTGTGATGTCAACGCAGCATCCATGGACGTTGCCAGAATTTTTTAGAGGGGGGGGGGGCAAAGCACATTTTCTCCCCAGAATACCTGTACTTGTCCAGCATATATTCTCGATTTATCATTTTTTGAGGGTGTGCAGGGAAATTTTCCCCCCTCCCATTAAATTAAAAGCAATATGACTTCGCCCCTCTTTTTCTTTCTTATTTTCTTTTTTTCCCTCCTTTTTTTGTTTTGTTTTTGTTTTTGCTTTTCCAGGGGGAGGGGGGGTAAGTGCTCCCCCCCCCCCCCCCCCCCCCCCCCCCCCGGGATATGGCAGCATCAGTGGTGTCATTGAGTTCTGACTCTCTTGCTATTTCGTCTGGATTTGGACTTGAGAGGGCAGTTCTCATGATGCTTGGGCTTAAGGTTTTTTGATGCCAGCATACGTTCCCTAGATGTTTGCGGTGTCTGATGAGACCAGATGGATGTGGCTGCAAAGTTGTTGTCAGTTGTCATTTTAACACTGTCTGGCCATTCTTTGTGTTGTGCTTCTTGCGGGTTTTAGGACTGCAAGTGTTTTCTTGCAGGTTTTTTCTTGTAGTTCAGAAGTGTGGTTCATTTACAGGATGTGACTGATTCCATCACATCTGGATGGGCTTTAAACCAGTCTGCATGGTTTTTTTTTCACATTTGCTAAAGACTGACATTGCTGTGTTGTAGATGGCATCTTTGATGTGGCTCTATTTGGTTGTACCAGTGTCTCCCTCAGGTGTACTGTAGAGGGCTTTGTCAAGGGAATCAGCAAACTCCTGTGCCAGCTGGGGATAGGAGACCCTAGCAGTGTTGATGAGAGTAAGGCTTTCTGACTTGGAATGATGGATTTTCTTAGCCTGTAGCTTGACCTTATTACATACTGGTGAGTGGTCAGTGTCACAGTTCATGCTGTGGTAGCTGCGTATAACTAGAACCTTGTTGATGGAAGCTTGTTTAGTAATAATAAGGTCCATCGGGTACCGGTGCTTAGAATGTGGATGTCGCCATGATACCTAGTGGCAGGGTTTGGTGCAAAAGGCGGTGTTGGTAATGCATAGATCATGGTACTTGTAAGTGCACAGTTCCAATAGTCACTGTCTGTTCTCATTTATTTTTCTGGTACCAGATTGACCTAGACAGGAAGGCCAAGTATCATGATCTCCCCCAACCCATACATTGAAGTCACCCAGCAGGAACAAGTGTTCAGATTTGGGAATGTTACTGAAAGTGGTTTTCAGATCCTTGTAGAACTGATCTTTGACCGAGGGTGGAGAAGAGAGTGTTGGGGCATAAACGCTGAGTAGGTTAACTGGGCCTGCTGAGGTGGACAGTTGGGCCGACAGTATGCATTCTGAGCCTTTGGATGGTGTTTCGATTGCGCTCAGTAGACAGTTTTTGATAGTAACCTACTCCATGCATCGTGGTTCATCTTACTGTTTGCTTGCCAGTACAAGTTGTGCTCCTCCTCTCTCAGTGATCCACTTCCAGCGAGACAAGTCTCCTGGAGTGCTGCGATGTCTACATTGAGCCCAAGAAGCATGTTGTTTATGACAGCGGTCTTTTAAACATTGCTAATTTGTGTAAGATCTTCAGACAATCCTGGACACATACATGTACATGTAGTCCTGACGTTCCAGCTTGCAAAGCAAAAGGCTTGATGATTCTTTCTTGTATTTGACTTTAATTTGCTTAGTGCAGTGATGCAGTCCACTTGACAGGGCAGTTAGTGACCCTAAGCTCCAAGCACCCATTGAAGCAGATGGACTGTGGCAAGCCGGCACCTTAATGGCCGGGGGCTGCCCGGCTTGAGGTGGGCAAAAGCTTTCCAGTGAGAAATATAGGATTTTGTTAAGCCTATAGAACTACGTTTTTAATTTTCGGTGTGCAGGTAAGATTTGAATTTGCTGCCTGTTGGTGATTCTGAAATACCTAAAATGAACTGCAATGTATTGATATAGAATGAAAGTAGAACAAGACATTGATTCAGATTATGACCTTCTTTATCTCCATAGAGAGTTTAATCTGTATGCCAATGTCAGGCCCTGCAAGTCAATAGATGGGTACAAGACACCATATGATAATGTGGACTTGGTAACAATCCGAGAGAACACAGAAGGAGAATACAGTGGTATTGAACATGTGGTGAGTATTATAACCCTGTATGTCCCTCTCCTCATAACCTCCAATCCCTACCAAAAATCCAGAAGTTAGCCAAAGTCACATTGTAACCTTAATCAGTGTGAATAGATGAATTGACAATAGCCTAGACGTTGTCTTTATAAACCAATAGTTAAACTAGAAATGTGTTTGTGGACAAACACAAGCTGTTTCGGATGCTATGTACATGTACATTAGATTTGAACTAGCCAACCGATCCCGTTAGCTCGGTGGTCGAGTGGTAAGACATCTGCACTAGAAAGCAGGAGGTCGTGGGCTCGAGTCCCACCCAAGTGATTTTTCCAACTTTCACTTGGGAGGTAACATTAATTAATTTCTTGCTATCAAAGTTTTGAGCAAAATGAATAAAAAACAATGGTGGTAATCATGTTGTTGAGGACCCAGTTTCCTTATAAAAGAAGAAAAAATTGTCCACGTCCACTGGCCACATCCTTTGTATTAATCTGTGTCACAAAAGGTGTTCATTAGGGAAGAAAGTAAATTGCTACCAAAAGTCAAGAATGAGTCTGCGCACTACAATTTCTGGCACACGGTCTATGTCTGGGGAAAAAATGAACACAATTTTGAAGTTGCCAAAACAAAAATGTACAGTAGCTAGGTGTATATTTTGACCTATTTTGTGACTTTTGGGAATGTTGTTTCCACTGGATAGGGTCCCTGAACAATTAAACGTGTAGACAATTGGTAGCGCCCAACTGCTGAAAGGATCTCTCAGTTTAAAATATCCCTTATTGGACATCATGGGCTTATTATCTCATTACAGGTTGGTTTAGGCCTATCACATTACACTTACATGTAAACATTGTTATTCTTTCAGGATGGTGCAGTTATTGCATTATGGGCTCACTTTTGTTACATGTGAGGTCGATATTGCATATTTAGTATGTTACAAGAATCTGCACTTTTCTAGATGTCATACCATCTATCAGCCCACAGTTTGTTACATGAAACATACATGTATGGGGTTTGTTTGATTTGTGGTGTCTGATCACATTTAAAATTCTTGTAAGTTTGAATACCGGTACATGTATCTGGAAAGTAACGGTCAAGTGATTTCACCCTCAAAATGAATATTGCACGGGAATATGATGTTCCATGTGAGCATGTGTTTAGTTGTGCTATTTCTTTAATACTATTGATTAAGGAAACTGTGTGTTTCTTCTTGCTAAAATCGCTCACAATTTGATAATCAGTTTGGTGAAAGAAAACTAGGTCCACATTCAATCTACTGATCCAAGGTCTTTTGCTGTGTTCCACTTGCTTTGTGTGTTACAGATTGTTGAAGGTGTTGTCCAGAGCATTAAGCTAATCACTGAACCTGCCTCAAGAAGGGTGGCCGAGTTTGCCTTTGAGTTTGCCAAGGCTAACAACAGACAGACAGTCACTGCAGTGCACAAAGCTAATATCATGTAAGTTAATGCTAGAACATTGTCTCACTGTGGGTTCTCATGACACCAGCTAAAATTATTGTTTTGGTGTTCGTCACTCAGATTGACAAAAATCGTTGGGGAGTGGAATTTGTATTTCATATTTTATAAATTCCACTTTGTCACATCCAAAGTAAATTGAGGGAGTTGAAGTTCAATTTATGGTTATAAACCTTGAAGAAGACACAACTATTCATAAGATGGAATTTGCTTCGGATTGATATTGAATACTGAAGATTCGCAACAAACATGAAACTACAAAATATTAAATACCAGTCAACTGTTTTATGACCTCAAACCAAATTTTTTTCCAATAAATCAGAGTTTTCACTCACAAACATCGCTCTTTCAACACGTGGAAAGTTGCACACGCAATTGATGCGATCGCCTGCTTGCAGTAAAGTTATGTTGTGGGGAGGCTCGACCATTTTCTAGAGAAGGGGATTACCTTTTTTCAGAGCGTGTAAAGGTGATGTCGATATGACTGGGAAAAAAAGATATACATTGTATCCCCTTCTTTACACAATGGTCGAGCCGCCCCACAGAATAACGTTACTGCAAGCAGACGACCGCATCAAGTGTGTGTGCAACGTTTGCGGTGTGCAAAAAGTGATGTTTCACTGTTTGCTTGTAGATCAATGGGACTGTGCCTATGGATTTGGTGATTAAATTTGTCTGATAAAAAAATTTATTGGAGAAAAAATAACACCTTCAGAAAAATGCAAAATATAAACTAGAGCTACATGTATGCCTGTTTAACAGTTTAATGAACAGGACATAGGCTTTTCTGCATTTTGTTTTTGCTAATATTTCAGAAATCTATTTGGAAATTCATACAGAAATATTGTAAAGAAATCAACCGATTACATCATTATGGCGTCACATTAGATTTTGCCTACAAATAACATTGTCTGACTTCCCACCAAGTTTTATGACGATCCAATCAGCCCTTGCATATGAAAACAATGTCATCTTTAATTAGTAAAGTTTATTATCAAATTTGTCCAAAAAGGCAGAAACGAGCAGAAATCATTTTACCCTGATGACACGTGTCGGACTACCTTCATAAAGACTTTTGAGCCAATCAGTCAGATAGTTTATCAATAGAAAACTTTGACAAATGTTCATTCATGATCATGTCACATGTCCTGTGATGACGTCATCGTAAAGTCATTTCAGATTTTGTGTGCTACTTACTATTATCTACCAACTCACCAATTTTTATGATGATCGATATTTTTGATGGCGTTATAATGACATCACACAATTTTCACAATTTTGTGAATATACCTATTACCTAACCAACATGATACAAAAAGGAATATTGAATTTAGCATATTGCATCCATGAGATATGGCTTAAAGGTCCAAAACTTCAAAAATTGATATAAAATCACACAATGATGTCATGATGACATCACCTCAATTTTTGCCTATAACTACATCCCGGTCTACCTACATACTGAGTTTTACCCAATCAGACTTACTGTTCTTTAGATGTAGGATCTTACAGTTTGTACATTTAAGATGACCCATGCTGACGTTATCATGACGTCACTCTTCCGGACACAAACGCACTTTGGGGTCTTCACATACCAGTAGGTTAGGTTTCATTAGACATGTTAGAATACATAGCCTCTGTTTAGGGTTAAAAATGCTGCGGTTAAAAACTTGTACGAAGTCTATGGGATTTGGGGTGGAATAAAAAGAAAAAGAAAGGAAAAATCAGAACAAAAACAATGCTTTTCTGCTTTCATGCGGAAAACAAAAAAAATATCGGGGGCTGGGGGGGGGGGGGTAGTAATGAAAACCTAAAAATTAATGTTAACTGGCCTTATGTTTTAGATTCAGATTTATTTTCAGGAATATGGCATTTTCTTGATAGGAAACATTTGAATACTGTAACATTTGGCCTTATAATACAGGATGAGTAAAAAAAAATAAAAGGCACCAAATGGCGCCCCCTATTTTTTACGGAAGTTCTGCAAGTATCGCTTTCCAGATCTAGGTTGTGAAAGCCCAGTTAATAGGTCATCCAAATCACTCATGTACTTTTCCAGTTATGGAAATTTGAACGTTTAAGGTAAGTGATATTTCAGTAAAATGAAACCATGTCGTATCATTAAAACGATATCAGAATAATCCCATGTCTCATGGTAGCCAAGTAGAAAGCACGGCAAGACTATAAACTCTTGACATTATACAGCTTGTTGTTTTAACATTGGAAGCAGAAGGTGTATAAATGTTATAAGTGCACGCTATCATGGTTATGAGAGGTTTTTTATGTGTCTTTTTTTAATATGAATTGTCTTCATATTTTGCTTAAGTATCACTTACCTTTATTGTGATTCGTAGACAAAATTATAAACTGTGTTTGTGTTTAAAAGTCCATAGCTGGAAAAGTACATGACAATTTGAATTATTCTTTTACTAAAAGAAAGCTTATTCACTTGGGCTTTCACATCCTATATCTTGAACGCGCTACATGCTGAACTACATGTACTTCAAAAAACAAGGGGTGCCATTTGAGTTCCTTTTTTTTTAGTCACCCTGTATTACTGAACTACCTGTACACCATATGTATTGTTCAAATCAAATTAGGTTTTTCCCTTCACAGAAGTATAAACACTGTATACTCAGTGTGTTACCTCCCCGAGTGAAAGTTGGAAAAAATCACTCGGGTGGGACTCGAACCCACGACCTCCTGCTTTCTAGTGCAGATGCCAATACCACTCGATCCCCGAGCTAACAGGATCGGTTGGCTGGTTTGAATCTGATGTACATACGGTAGCAGCGGGTACTGCATTAATGTATTGCTTATCCAGTGATGACTTGGATTAAGTCTCCCTGTGCAGAGATGTAAATTTAATAAGGAGTTTTGCCTTCCACCGACATTTTAATAATGCTGTTCAAGTGCTTGTGATGAGAAAAATTACATGCTTAACAGGGTGGGATTGAACCTATGTACAAGTTTCTGCTTTTCACTGCAGATGTCCGATAGATACCAATTTGACATAACAGTGGCCGTGAGTACCATGATCACTCTTTTTTGATGGGATTTTGGTTTCAGGGAGATGTTTATGTTAATGGTGAAAGGTAAATATTAAATTATGTATTGATGCTCATTATGTGATATGGCCTATAAATTGTACCAAATACAGAGTTTTTTTTCTGACTTATACTACAACAAGCATCGACATGTAGTGATAACAACCGTGATTCTGCTGGTTATTAAAGTGTGGGATGCCTGTTTTATAGAAAGCTGAATTGGCTGGATTGAAATGCCAGTCTCAACACATCATATGCACATTGTTTACCAGATTAATACACGTAGGTAGTAAAAGTGTATGTGAATGCAATGTGTTTTGTAGGAGGATGTCAGATGGTCTGTTTTCTCCAGTGCTGCAGAGAAGAAGCTGAGAAGCACAGGGACATCAGATTCAGGGAGATGTATCTGGACACAGTCTGTCTCAATGTGAGAACTCTTTCCTTTCACTTTAATAATTCAACACTCACTCGTTTTTGTATCCCAAACCGAAAAGTAAACACTTTGATATCATTTCTGCTTAAAAATTCACTTGAGTATAAAAACTCCCCTTGAATATATAAAACTCCCCTTGAATATAAAAAAAATTGAAATCTTGTATAAGTGATCTGCATTATTACCTGGGTGTAGACCTTTACCGTACATGAGAAGTGGACGAACAATCTAACGAAAAGAGACAGGTGAATGGAATTACCCTCACAATGTGATCCCAATAGTGTGTGAGTGTGCTGAAGAGATGCCAAAATACAGAAAATAAAGAAATCCCCCCAAAAGCATGGACAAGCAAATGACAGTGACTTGAGTGCAGTCATGCCATAGACTTAGTGAAGTTGAGTCATTGACACTCACAGTGACTCGAGTTGCGTTGCAGAAAGATTGATTTCATTCTATTCTGTTTCCCGTAGTTGAGTCATTTGCTTGTAGTTGAGTTGCATTGTTTACTGGTAATGAATCCATTCAACAACAAAACTTTTCACCTTTTAGTAAATCAAATGGCAGAATTTGTCGTTTTCTTTTAATTCTGGGTTCCGGCACGATGTCATGTCTGGTCACTGACCTTAACACGGGGGATGAATTTTGACCGTGTGTGTATGTGCGTGCTGAAGTGCTTTTGGTGCTACGGCATGCCATTGTTTTCACCCAGTGGATAATGGCAGTTCGCCACTTCCAGTCACAGTACCCCAGTACTTTGATGTTGGATCTGAAAATGGATTATTTGTTCTCTAGTATCAAGCATCAAAATGAAAGAAATACACAGAGTTTAAATTCTTGTTCGGTTTCATTTCATTTGTTTGATTTAGCTACATTATATAAGTATGTACATGTAATTCATAATTTTCTGATTACTTTTCTTTAATATTTTGTTTGGTCATAAAATTGTAAATTATGTTGTATCATGTTGACTAGATGCTAGAGGAGAGGGAATACAATGTTTACACTCTTTCCTCTTCCAATTTTGTCACTTTCCAAGAGTAGATCAACATGTAAGCAGAGAGTTGACCGATTTCGGCCTGGCCACACAATGGACGATCGCATATTAGCATATTCATTAGCGTCACACGGCGTGACTTGGCATGGGTCTCGGTATTGACCAATGGAAGCAGGCAAAGGGTGAAATTTATCAATAAATAACTCATGAAGGAGGCTTTGACGCAAATTTTTACTGCAGAACATAATGGATAGGAACCTTACTAGTATTTGTGAGACTTGAAAAGATGGACAGACATTGCTAATGCCTGTGTTACAGCTTTCAAATATGCACGTAGCAGGCCTATTTTTCCATTTGAACAAAAGTAAAACTTATTTACTACGATTTTTAGCACATCATTGGATCAAGTTGCATGAAGATACAGTCTTCCAAACGGGAGAAATTAATTTTCAAAGATTTTGCCCGCCAACGTGAACATGTGTGTGTACATGTAGTTTCATTCAAAATAAAGTGTTACGTAACCTTTAGAAATCGCCCTTCGCAACCAAATGTGTGCTTGGCAGGTATTAAACACTCTGTTTAAGACCGGCTGGAGTCTGGATGCTGATACATGTAAATACCAGCATTCTAGACTCCAACCGGTCTTAAAAAAAACAGAGTGTTTAATACCGGCCAAGCACATCTCCATTCAGTGGCGTAGCCAGGAATTTTTCGTTGGGGGGGGGGGGGGGGGTGGGGGGCGCTGGGGGGCTGGAACATTTTATGGGGGGCGGCGTCATGCAGGGGCGTCAATCGCTTCTCAAAAGTGGGGGGGGGGGGGCAGGACATACCTTGATCAGAACTGATGCGAGCGCGAAGCCCTTACGGCGTGGGGTTCGGGGCCCGCTTAAGGGCACCGAAATAAAAAAAATAATTCTAGATGTTCTGTGGTGTGATCTGAAGCAATTTCTTACCACTTTCCTCCATGCTTTAACTAATATTTTCTTAGCAAAAGATAATTATTGGAACATCGTTTTCAACGTTGGAGTCATTAAATCAGCTATCGGTATTCTGAGCTATAGGCCCACTTAAGTGGCCCTGAACAAAATTGGATTCTCGATGCTCTGTGGTGTGATCTGAGGCAATTTCTTACCAATTTGACCAATAATTATCTTAGCACAAAAGATAATAATT